CACAGACTTCATGTTTATGTCACACACCACACCCACCACCATAGCACCTTTAATTCTTCACCAGAGCCCCTTTTGCCCCCCACATTTCTCTCCCCTGTGTTCCCTCCACTTTTGGTACCCTCAATTCTGCGGTCATATTTCTAGGGCTATCATGTTTTTTTTTTGAAAGGTAGCCACAGGCCTGCAGACCATGGTTCCTACAGGATGGCCCTCACTCAGTATATGCAGCCTCCTACAGTCAGACTGCTCTGCTGTGGGGAAGCAGAGTTACTGCTCTTCAGAGTAAGCTGTATTGCCTGAGTTAGCACCACTTGGAGGAAAAGAAAGAAAGTAAGTACTTCAATAATTTCTCCCTCTTTCCCAATACCTGCACTATCTAAATGGAGTTATAAAACATTAAAGATGTAAGGATTATAAACATATAAAGATAAAGAAATCCTTACTCTTATACTGAAATTGGCTGACAGGCTTAGCCTTGTTTATTCCTTAGTTACGTCAGCAAAAACAGGACTCAGGCGATTCATTCATTTATTCATCCATATTTAGCAATGCTGTGCTTTTGACAGAGAGGTAAAAATCAAAATGCTCAGTTCTCATGAGTTTTACTTAATACTGAAAAGGGAAAGATAAAAACCAAAAATAGAGATGTGATGTTACATAGACATACATTGATAAGATGTTACATATCAATAAGTGCCATATGTGAAAACAAAGCAAGAAATGGGAAAGAATTTGCTGAAGGGAATGATAAAGCTCAATTTTAAGGTTTTTTTTTTTTTTAACTTACATGTAGAAGAACTGGAGTATAGGCCAGCTGTGTATGGAGTTGAGAGGATTCACCATAGACAGAGTGGGGAGCACAACAAATTAATCTACTGCAATTCACTGCTGAGGGGAGCAGCAGGCAACACAGGAGAGGTCTGCTGCGCCATATGTGGGTTAGCAACCTGGTTGGGGACTGAACTCAGGCCACAGCGTGATAAGCGCTGAAACTTAACCCCTATGCCACCAGGGAGGCCCTACAGCTCAATTTTAAATATTAGGAGGGCCTCCCGGTAGCACAGTGGTTGAGCGCTGGGCTGCAAGGCTGCCTGCAGCCTCTACAGCACCGATTCAATCCCCGGCCATCCAGCGAGGGTCCCACATGGTGCGGCAGACCTCTCCTGCTGCACCTGCTGCTCCCCTCAGCAGTGTATTTCGTCAGTCTGCCTATTCTGCTCCCTGCTCTGGCTCTGGTGAATTCTCTCACCCTCCTGTGCTTCTGACTGTACCCAGTGCTTGTGTAAATAAATAAATGAATCTTTAAAAAATAAATAAATAAATATGATTAGGAAAGGACTTGCTGAAGCGGTGTCTGGAGAATAAAGCATAAAAAGGGGTATGCAGCACAATATATGTTGTCCAGGATGTTTGAAGAACAGAGGTCCACTGGAACTAAAGCAGAATGGATGAGAAAAAAGAAGGACATGAAATCAGATAGGTAATGTGGTTGGAAGAGAACAGTATAGATCTTGTGAGACATGGTAGCCTATGTAATGAGTTTGCTTTCTCTCTGAGTGCTATGGAAGCCGTGGAAGGGCTTTGAATTATACTGCATGACTGAAATTTCAAGACATATATGTACACATCAGTATGTTGGCATCACATAGATATATAGATAAATTTCCCCCAGATGTTGTGTGAACAGAAAATTGAGTCAAGATCAGAAGCAGGGAGGGCCTCCCCTGGTGGCGCAGTGGTTGAGTGCTGGGCTGTGCTGCTGCCTGCAGTCTCTGAAGCGCTGGTTCGATCCCCAGACACCGGCGAGGGTCTCACATGGCGCGACAGACCTCTCCTGCAATGCCAGCTGCTCCCCTCAGCAGTCCCCGCTCTGGCTCTGGTGAATTCTCTCACCCTCCCACACTTCTGACTGTACCCAGTGCTTATATATATATATATATATATATATATATATATAAATAAATGAATGAATGAATGAAAAGATCAGAAGCAGGGTATAAATTAGTATGCCACAGTTCACCAGAGTAGACATGATGTTGGCATGGATCATATTGATGAGGTACAGGGAGTAAACTATTAATAAATTTTAAATTTGTATTTAAAGTAAAGGGTATGTTGCCAAATTGAATTTTGGCTATAAAAGCAAAGAAAAAAAAGAGGATGAAAAGATTTTTAGCCCAAGCAGCTGAAAAACAGTTTGGTCGTAATCAGAAGATTTCAAAAGGAGCAGGCTTTGGGGAAAATGACAACATGAGAAGTGTTGAATTTGAGATGCCTTTTGAATAATTAGGAAGAGGTAATGATTATGTGGGTCTGAAAATCAGAGATGTAGGGGAGAACTTCGGGTTGGAGAAAACTTTCGTAGCTCATTGACATTTAGATAATATTTAAAGCCATGATCATCAAAGAATGTGTTTAAGTGGGAAATTATATCTTGTGGATATTTAATATGGTCACTTCATAATTTTCTTTGATAACTTACAAATAGTGGACTTTCTATCAGCACACAGCCATTGCACACTAAGGGAAGGGGAAGTTAGCAGGGCAACACATGAATCATTGTGGGTTTTGTCCTTTGTGTAACATCACTTATCCCCCACTGAGTGAGTGAAGCAACAGGGTGTCAGGAGCAGAAAATTGAATTCCATGATCTGAGGGTTACTGTTTGCTTTGAAAATCGTAAGATTTTCTATTGATGACTGTTACATATAAGTATGGGTGCTATTTCTGAGGTCTTGGAAAATTTTACAGTGCAGTTTCTCCCTAAAATGCTAATTTTATTGTTTGGGATTTGAATAGTGTTTAGGCTAGTCAACAAAATGTAGATCAGTTTCAAACCTCTATACTTTCAGAAAGTAAATTCCTAGGTAAATATTACAAACTACATAAAGAAGTACTCCACATTCCCTCTCTGAATGTTTGCCAGTAACTCCAAATTATTTGATATGACTTCCATTCCTCTTTTGTATATAGGAAAGTATAAAAAGAGAAATAACAGCAACTTTTCAAAGGTCTCTCAGGACTGTAATCATCTCCTTTATGACTTTTATGAGACAGAATCACTCATGTCCTGTTTGTAACATGGTCTAATAGTAAATGTTTATTGACTTGTTTTATTTCAGCCAATTTTCTCTATCACCCATCATGTTCTATGACATTAATTCATTACAAATGATGAAATATCCCATAGAGTGTATGAGTGTGCAGGACTGCCTTAGTCAAAAAGGCAAAAGGAGCATTTTTATTGGTACCATGTATACATCTGCTAAAAGGTTGTTAAATTGGCCCATAAAAAAAATTAAGACACTGAATTTATCATTTCTTGAAACATATACTATATCTTTGAATTTTGCTTTGTAAAAGCACACAATGCAGTATCATTAAACTACAACAAAATGAGTGTATGGAGAACCAAATGAAACTGTCCTTGTTTCTGACTCTTTGGTATCATATTGCACAATGAGAAAGTAGAAATGCAACAAACAAAATCCTTAGGCAAAATGAATGAATGTTCAACAATCAGTGCAGTGGCATGCAAATACAGGAAAACAACACATGTAACTTTTGCAAAATGCTTAAGTAGCTTATTCTGATTAAATAGAAGTTTTTTTTGATAGGTGATGTTTATTTTGTTGAGCTTTTTTTAATGAGAAAAATGACACTGAGTGCTTTTCTGCCACTAGCAAGTTTATTTTTAACATTTCCATCTAGTTTAATTTTCTGGTTAAGTGATTAGGAGTTCCCTAGATAACCCCATTTCAGCACCTAATGCCCTTGAATTCTGATCTCCCACAGAGCTTATTTTATCGAGCAAGGTGAATCTTTGAACTATATCGTCATGTGGGAATGGCTTGTAATTTGATGTTTTATTTATTTGTAATTATCTCCCTTTCATAGAAACACTGTGCCAATAATCCAAAAATCCTTAATTGTTGTTTTCTTAAATGCTTCTCTCAAAGCATTTTTAAAAAATAAAGCAATGGACCTCTTTTCTTCAAATGTTTGTTGGGAAATCCAGCTATTGTTCTTTTCATGTGTCTTTTTTAATTTTCTACTTCAGATCCCTGTGCAGTGCTAAACCCTAGGGAAATTTAAAATTAAGCATGACTTGTGCTGATGTCCCTTTCCTCTCTTTTCTTGTCAAGTCATTTTTTAAAGAGATCTGTAAAGACTTCATTCTCCTGTCCCTATGCCCCATTACCAGCAGCGTTGATCAGATTCCCTCTCCAGTCTCCATTAGGACAGCAGGAAAGCTACTGATCACACCCCATTTATAGCATCCAGATCCAATTAGATGGCACTCTGCCTTGCCTAAGAAACAAATACTTACTTTGGAATGATGTGCAGTGGCTAAGACCTTAGTATGTGTGTTCCCAAAATGAATGTTCATTTTAATACCAGTCTTCTCTTATAATATAAATGTTAATAGCACTACTTGGAGCCAGATATTTAGAAGCAGGAAGAGCTCTCTGCAAAAATTTAAATCACACCATGTCTGCCTCTCCATGATGTAGGGATTTCTGGTTATATGTCTGCTTTCCAAAGATTAGTGAAAAGACAAGAGAAGAAAATATGGGGAGAAGTAGAGTGGTAGACCAACCCTTATTTAAACAGACTCTTCTGAAATACAAAAGCTTAGTTTTCTGGGGTCATAGAAAGGATCTACTGCAATACCATTTATTGCTTCTCTCAAATATTGATGTATTCTCATGAAATAGGACAAGATTTCTAAGAGTTCAAAAATACTAGGGGTCATTAAAGTGAATATCAAGTTGTCAGTGAATGATATTCATTCCACACACTTTGAGTTCCTACTATATTGTTGAATAAGACAGTATGTGTTAAGCATATGCATACATATGTTTGCTTAGGACTTGGGAAATTTTCAAAAACATTCATTTTCTATTATAAACACATTTTTAATTATAAATTTCAACTTAGATACTTTATTACAAGTGATATTTATGTCAAAGATTATAGAATTAATGTTTACTCTTAGTATTTAGTTTATAAGTAACATATACATTAAGTTTAAAACTTAAATAGTACTGGGATATTAATATAAAGTAAACTTGTGATAACTTATATTCCCTTGGCAGTCACCATCATGTCTCAAGTAATATGCTCATACTTGTAATTCTTGACTTTTTTCAATTGGAATGTCTTCTTTCACTGATTAGGTAGAGCTACTGTTCCCCTGGATGCTGTGCCATTACTAACTGGATCTCCTTTTGAATTGGATAGAACACAACTTCATGCAACTTCCTAAGAAAAGGTACAACAAAGGTAAATTTTCTGCATCTTTATCTACATATACTTTATACTGTATATAATTTGTATATCTTTATCATAATCCTGAAATATTAGGAGGTGAGTTTGTGAAAATCATTCTATAGAAACCATATCAGATTCTCAATCAAGCCATTTCGTTCTTATTTCTTTTGTCCATATGCTGCAAGATTTAGTTGACATTCTAAGTCTTCTACTTTAATTTTAAAAATAATTTTGAAAGTCATGTCTATACTTCCAATGTGTCCAGGAAACAACAATCTATGATAGTCTTTAAATTATTGAAATTTAGATGTGAAAGTTTTTTTAGGGGACCTGGAGACTTACCTAGATTAAAAAGTAGTACTAATCATCATCATGGTAAAGATAAACTTCTAAAATCTGGCCAAATCTTTTCCTTGCATTAGAGAGTCACAACTCACATACAAACTTAGATTTCAGACACCTATGGTGAGATCTTGTGGAATCTTAGGATTTCACAGGTCAATTTCTGTTTTGTGTAGCTATCTCCACAAACTTCTATAATTTTTGTTACATATAATCATGTATGCAGTATACTGTGCAACTGTAGCAATTTTTATAAAGGAATTGGAAGATACTTAGAAATTCTTCCTAAAATGGTTAGGGAATTTTACTTACAAAATTTAGTGTCCCATTTTCTAAGTTTTTAAATTGGTGAGAAAGATTCAATCTGATTTAAAACTTCAGTTCTGATAAGCAGTAATCAGTGCGTCTATTGGAAACTCTTATCACATCATTTGGAGTTTCTGAAACTTTTGCCTTTGTTTAGAAATCCTGCAACATACAAAAAAAAAAAAAAGAAACACTATAGAAGCAATGTAAATAGTTTGGTGATAATTCAAATTTTACTTTTTAGTATAAAGCTATGATAAAAAGCAAACCACTGATATTTATATACTTAACCCTATTCATTGAGTAACTGATCATTTTGATATTAAGAGAATATATTCATGCAAGATTTAGGGTTTTTTCCCCCCAAATTCAAATAAGTGTTGTTACATCAAACTGAATCAAAAGGAGAATTCCAAATGAAAGTTATTTAATTCAGAATTAATGAGTAAAGCACAATCAATACAAAGGACAGACCCTGGGTAATTTCTAATTGTTTTGTCTCTCTCTTGCTCATTCGTGCGCGCTCTCTCTCTCTCATTCATATATATATATATATATATATATATATGTCATATATATATATATATATAAATCTCCACCCGTTAGATAAGATTGTGTGTGTGTATCCACCCCTTCTTGATGGACTCCTGTTTGGGGGCACTTACGTTGTTTCCATAGCTTGGCTATTGTAAACAGTGCTGATGAGAGTGCAAGTTTCCTTTCAAAATAGTGTTTTGGTATGTTTCGTGTAGCTACCTAGGAGTTGGAATTACTGGATCATATGATAGATCCGTTTTCAGTCTTTTGAGGTACCTACATAGTGTTTTCCCTAGGGGCTAGACAAATCTACATTACCACCGGTAGTATGAGGTTTTTTTCTCCAAAAAATAATTGGTACTACCTAAAGTAGGAAGAAAAGTATAAAACCCAGTATTTTCAAAAATGGTTTATTACACAAGGAACAACTTTTCAAACATGTAATAGCTTTATGTGAAATATCTAGAAAAAAGCACACTAAGAAATACTAAAGGAAAACTTAAGTATTCCTTTATTTAATATAGAAAATTTGAGTAATCTACAAAAAGGAAAGCCTAGCAAGGTGAGTTAACCCAACAGATTGTAATGGATATATGAATGAGTAAAAATATATCTGATAATCCATATAAAATGAGAAAAATCCTTGAAAACATAAACCTCATTCAAGAGGAAATAACATAACATGAACATTCTTATTAAATGAATCAAATTATAGTTTAAAACCTTTCACTGAGAAAAAATTTTACCTATTGAATTCTCTCCCATACATTTAAGGAAAAATAATTCTAATTCTATAAAAAAAATTACCACAAAGGATAGTTCTCAAATCATGAGGCTAGTATTACCATTATATAAGACATACACTCAACAATATAGCATACACATTTTTTATAACTTATTAGTGGTACATTGCAGATTGAAATGTCTGTTTATTAACTCTTCCTAAATTTGGAGACACCATTAGGATTCATTAAATACATAAAAATTACTGTTCTAATTGCTGATAAGCAAAAAAATTAACCTGCAGTCAAAGAAAATCTCAGCTTGCCTCTTGAGTTTGCTTTGTTCATTGTGCCTTACAGTTTCCATGGCTAGTAGCAGTCTTTCAAGATACTTGGACATTTCTAGGGACTTTCAAGGGCCAAAGATTTTGACTGGGTATGACTGTATATGGAATCCTATGTTATTATATATACAGAAAAATAAATCCTTTACCAGGTTTTAAGTGCACAAAAATAGGGACCGCAGTTTGATGAAACATTTTTGTTTTCCTACCATAGAAATATTCAAATCATGAGTTATGTCAATGTTAAATGACAAGATCAAAAAACTCACAATTTCAGAGAAAACAATGCTTTTAATGTAGAAAGAATGCAGATTAGCATACAGAATAGTTAGAAGACATAAATCATTTTCTCATTCTAGCAAAACCAAAGAAAGAAAAATTACATGTAGGCTACACCAATAACTTTTATATATTTAAGCACTAATAACAACAAAACCATAACTAGATAAGCAGAGATACTGAATATACCGATTATGAACCAAAATAACAGACTGCACAGTCTGTGTGCAGAATAATTGTTAAACATTCTTCCTTCCATAGAAACTCATTTTCCCAAGACTGAAAGTTCTCCCTCTTGATTTTAAAATGAATTCTTATCTTGATGGAACTGGAACACTTAATTTTTAAGACTCGGTGAGAGCCATGTCAGCAGCAAGGAGGGAAGCGGCAGAATCCCCGGAGTGGCTGATGCACCGAGCCAGTCTGGGTCGGCTTCACCACTCAACAGCCTCAGGACTGGTTTCCATGTCTACAGTGAAGCCTTATACCCAATCACAGGTTTTCAAACCAACATTCTTGAGCTTTCCTGAAAAACTATTAAGGATAAGTTCCTGAGGAAGCAAGGAAAGAGAGCAAGTGGTATCCCTATTTTAATAAAACAACTTAGCTTTTAGCTGTTTTCTGTTTGGGATTTCATAAGATTTAATTTAAAAAAAAAGTTTTAAAGCTAATTCAACTGATCTCAAATGTCTTTTCTATCCCTTTAATGCTAGATATTTCAAGATTGTTTAAGGGAACAGACCAACTAGAGGATTTTTTTTTTTATCTTTCTAACACATCATATCATTTGTCATTTATTTTAATATTCTTGTCACCACTTGCCCCCAAGTCACCTAACCTGATTTCTAAAAAAAAAAAAATTCTGCTGACCTTGAAAAACTCCTTTAACTCTGATTTATTGTCACAAAATATGCTATTTGTTAAATTCAAGATTGCCTGTGTTCTTACAAGTATTAGATCACAACAGTTTCTTAACTGAACATGTAGACTATTACAGATTGAAATCTTCAAACCTTGATGTAGCACTGGGATGATACAGACTATAGCAATATATTTTACTGTCATCTATTAACTATTCAAGGAAATAGAAGATTTTATTTTGGTTTTGCCCTGTTTCTCTCCTTCTGGGTCTTTAGCAATTCATATTCAAGCAAATGTCTATTTATAATTAATCTGGAACAAGTACCTCATCTTTCTGTCATTCTATTGTCTTTGTTGCTGATGGACCTCAGTAAGAAAGCCAAAGAGTTGGTCAGAATTGTTCTACACTTAGAATCTTTCTGACCAGACTGTTTTCCAACCTGCTTTTTCTGAATCTTCTTTTCCTTTTGAACTCAGATGTGTTTCCTGAGACAGCAGAAAATTGGGTTTGTTTTCCTAATACAACCAGTTACTCTGTACATTTTGACTGGTAAGTTCAGTCCATTTACTTTCAGTGCAGCTGTTGAAGGACTTACTATTGCCTATTTATCCTTAGTTTTCTAGTTTTATTTCCTCCTTCATTTTTTGTATGTGAGGAGGTTCTCGAATTTAGATGAGGGTGTTCCCTTCATTTTGTCTAGTGTTGGAAACCTCATGCAGTTTATTAGGCTGATGGAGAGTTTGCAGGGTGTCGTGTTGACTAGCAGTTTGATATTTTCAATATATCTTTCCATTCTCCCATTGCCCACAGTGTTTCCTCAGAGACGTCAATGTAAATTCGATGGTTGTGTACTACTTCCCCCTAGCCCACTTCAGTATTGTGTTGAACTCTTGAAAGTTTCAAAACTGAGTTTTTGTGTAGGTCTCATTACATTTAGATGACTAGGTTTTCTTTTAACTTCATGGATTTGTACTATCTCCAGGTTTGGAGAACTATTATTTCTTAAATAAGTTCTCTGTTCCCATCTCTCTTCCCAATCATTATTTTTTTAAGGTGACATTGGTTTATAATGTTGTTTGTGTTTTTGTAGTATAAGATATCCCCCTTCAGATGTTGTCACTATACCACACTCCCCACAAAACACCCATTACTCTTATATTTCTTTTCTTCGTGGAATAGGATAATTCTGAAAGGATTTATTCATTTTTCCCTTTTTTCTTTCACTTAGTTTCTTTGTGCATTACCATCTACAAGGTCACTAATTTCATCTTTTAGTGGATTCTACTTTCATAGTTTTCTCCAGAACTTTTTTAACCTCCTCTATTGTTCCACTTAGCTATAAAAAAAACTTGCGATTTGCAACAATATGGATGGAACTAGAGGGGATTATGCTAAGTGAAATAAATGAGAAAAAAGACCAGTACCTTCTGGTGTCACTTATATGAGAAATACAGAGAAACAAAACAAAGGGTCAGATAAAATCAAACCAGTAACAACTCCTAGAAATCTAACTGTAGAACTGAGACTACCAGATGGGAAGGTGGAAAAGCAGAATGGGTTGGGAGCACAATGGATTATTGTGGAGACTTAGGGGTGCCTTGGCATTGGGTGTGTTGTAGTAATGTACACATTGTGTTATCCTTTACCTCTATGTCATATACAGTGTTATTAACCATATTTCCTCAAATGAAAGAAAAAAAATGCTACTAATCTTTTCATCCTGAGGAAAAGCTGTTTTCCCAAAATCACCAATGTAGGATTCTGATTAGAGTTTGGAATTTACTAGGAGTGGTAAAGGCTTGATAATTGAGAAACCTTATTTTTGACCACACAGGCTCTCTCTGCCTGTCTCAGCAGCAGTGGAATATTGGCACATACACCAAATCTGACTCACTCAAATGAAAGCTATCTGTCAGCACTGACTACAACTAGTCTACATGGTTCTTATTTAATTTTGTTTATATTTATATGTATTTCACATCATTTTTGCACAATGTATGCATTTTCATCTTGGCTATAGTCCCCATACAATTCCCACCCCCCTTGTTTTGATCATATTTTCTTCCTTCCCCACGCCTCCCATAGTGTCTCTGGTTTATAGTTGCTTGTTGATTGTGATTTTTACTTTATTATAATTATCTTTTTTCCTGGTCCTTATTTAGGTTTTCTGAATCCCTGCTGTACATGGTTCTTTTTTAGTCTTTTCTTCCAATGTGAGATGAAGAAATGAGGCTTCCCTATGCCTCCCTCTTGATGGTTTCTATTTTTTGCTATTGATCCTTTGTGAGAAGTTACCAATCTGAGACATTGTAGACTATGTCATGCTCCCAAGTACATGGAATTTATTCAGAAAGCCTGACCAATTCCAAATATACTCCTGAATACGCATTTTACTCTTCACAAGAAAAGTGTATATCT